CGGCCGCGGGCTGCGGGATGGCGGAGGAGGCGCTGCAGTTAGCGGGCGCCGCGGGGCTGCTGGTGTCCGAGGGAGCAGGTGCACTTTCGCTCATGCCGGGGTAGGAAGAGGCTGAGCTCGTGGGTGGTTCTGCAGAGACAGAAAACAGGGAAAGGACGGGTAGCTGCAGTTACATTCGCTGACCCGCCCTGGGGTTGAGGGAGGGCTGGCCTTGCTACACAGCCAATGGCCCCAGGCCCAAATGCCCCGCAGCCCCATTGCCTACTTTAGGGGTTACCTGTGTTCAGATTTAAATCACAGAACAACTGCCTCCCCGTCTTCAGCATGCATAGTTCATACCTCCCTCCCCCAGCCCCATCCCATTTTGGCGGGCTGCGCTGTCCAAATGCACACCGGTCTTACCAGCGACAGCAGGATCGAGACTGTCAGTCTACGGAAAAACAAATCTTGGGCGGTGGAAGAAAGGTGCAGGAGACAGCCATTGCTTTACATTATTTAACCTACAGTTCCATTTCCCAACAGAGATAAGAATCAAGATTTATCCACCCTTTATGGAAACTATGTAGCAGAGACATTAAAATACAGTAGACAAAAAATTTAAAAAGGAGGAAAAGACAAGAAAAATCTTCAGAGGAGAATAATTACCCACAAAAGTTGCTAAATCCCATCAAAGCATGTAAGTTATTCCTACACTGGCACTCTTAAAGACTTACAAAAATTATTCAGGCTTGACTTTTAAAAAAAGCAAAACTTTTTTCTTTCTTCTCTGCTGAAGAATGTAATCTGCGCACACGGCTTCCCCAAGGGTGGGTGGGGGAAGCAAAATCCCCACAGGTTATCTGAGAGTCAAGGCTTCCCCTTGGCACTCAGCGAGTGTTTCCCTGGCCAGATTCTTTGCTCCGAAATGCCTGGAAATATTTCCAAATAAAAGCCAGCATTATTCTGGGAAGTGGGGGCTCCCAGCCACAGCCACCAGGGTGGCCACCAGTGTCAAGGAATGGCAGCCACAGCCTGCTCTTCAGGCAGCACTGGGACGGCCGGCTCTGCCTCCTGAGGAGGGACAGCTGCTGGACCAAGTGGCAGGGAGATGGGGAAGGCACAGCCTGCAGCCTGGTGCCCACCATGCCCTGCTTCCCAAGTGCAGAGCAGGCAGGGTGCACCCCGTCCACGCCCACGGTTTTTCGCGCCTGCAAAGGCAGTGACCTGACTTACCTAGCGGCAGCCACTTTCTCCTGCAACGATTCCCTAGGAAAATTTCCCCAAGCAGAAACGCTGTCCTTCCAGTTGTCACAAGTGTTTTCAGTTAAACTGCTCATGTTTCTAATTAACTTTTGTCATCCACAACTACTCCAGTGCCCAGAAGCCCGGCGGGATTAACGGCCGATTCCCTCTCTCTCTCTCTCTCTCTCTCTCTCTCTCTCTCTCTCTCTCTCTCCACTTCCTAATACCTATGTTCCGCTGCCTTCTAGCAACAGAGTAAACTGTATACAGAGCGGCTTTTTATGATTTAAAAGTCAACGGCCACAGAGGCTGAGTGAAGGCGGCAGGGAGAGCCCCACGCCCGAGGAGAGGAGCTGCTTCCCTGAGCGGGGAAGCCGAGGCTCAGGCTGATCCAAAGCAGACCTCTCAGTGTTTTAAAACACATCCATCTTCCTGACTTACTGGGGATTTGGGTTTGGAGGGGAGGGTGCTACCGCACGATCCTCCCAAAAGAAACTCACAGGCGTTGCTGGATCCTTTCCTGGGGAGAGCCAGAGACCAGCGTGGAGACGGGCTTGGGAACCCACCCACACCATCAGCCCGTGAGAGGGGCTGCGAGGTCAGGAGGCCCAGGGCCAGCGCATGTGAACATGGGGACCTCACCCCCATTCTGCGAGACAGGGAACTGACACTAGGTGGAGCGACTGAGCAACCGTAGGAAGGGGTGCACCTGAAATCTGAACTGGGGTCTCCAGATAGCACCACGCTGCCTCCCTTGATAAGGAACATGTGTCAATAGCAGCCACTCAAATGACTAGTGGGCTTTTCGGGTACCGTCTTTTCTCCTAGCATGTATGTGGATGCATGTCATGTATGTTGATGACATCCACGGCAGGCACAAATCAGCTCAGCCACTTCACAGGAAGCAGCCTCAGGAGGCTCTGGGGCCAAAATAATTGTGGCTCTCCAAGCCTGAGTGCTACCTCTCTTAGGACAACCACCTTTCCCTTTTAGCTGGGATCAGATCTGGGGAGGGGTGAAGCACTCATTCATTCAACATGTCTGTTCATACCAATATCTGCTCATTCATCCAGCACCTAATTACACTAGACACTGCTCTAGGTACCCGGGACACATCCATTCCAAAGCAAAAGCTCTGCCTTTGTGGCATTTATAGTCCAGCCAAAGGGAACAGGCAATGAGTAATTTTATCACTTAATTATATCCTATGTAAGAAAATAAGTGCTAAAGAAAAGGAGGACTCAGGGACAAGTGGCAAGACTGTCCTTGAAGGAATTGTGAGATCATGTTTGGAGGTGCGTCCCTCTTTCTGGAAGAAGTTTTGGGCATTGCCTGTGTACATAGACCAACATGACGTCCCTTCTTGGAGCTGTTACAGAGCTTTCTCAGAAACAGCTTAGACAAGAAACACCCCTTCCTACCATTTCTAAATATATTTTCTAACACAATTGTAGCTAGAAGTTACTTGACAGAAAACTAGCTAACAGATGACCCAGGAGAACACAGGGAGTTTGTTGTCTCTGTGAAATGGCCAGACTCACTGAAAATGTGTGTCCTTTGGGAAAAGGTGGTGAGGACAGGGAAGGGGCTGTCACTTGTGTAAGGACAATGGTCATGCCTACTCATTTCTCAGGTCGTGTCATGATGGCTCCCAGGAAATCTCTCCTGTCACACCCCAGTTCAATGCCACTTCCTCTGCCAAGCCATGTGAGATCCTCCAGCTGCCTGGTTTGCACCCTAGGATATTTTTACAAACCCTGTGCTTCCCAAGGTCTCTGTCCACGTGTCCCTCGTCCAAGGGTGTGTGGAGGCCCATTCGCTGTCCACTGCACTTTTGGGACACAGAGGTGAATGACACAGGGCTGGTGCCCTCTAGCAACACACCAGCAAGGGATGTGACAGACCTCAGAACAAGCCAAGAGAGTAAGGTAGAGCAGCAGAGGGTCCTCCAGGCACTCTGAGATCAGAGGTGGTGCTAGCTACAGGCTTCCCTTTGGGAAACTTTCATGGAGGAGGTGACCCTTGAGATACCATCCTATGGAGCCTCTGCTACGGGTCAGTTTGTGACTCCATCGGTCCAGATGTCCTCCAGGGGGAATCCTATCCCCGTGCCTCTTCCCACATCTGTGGTGGGTAGGTAGCCTTCACGTTTAAAAACTGCATTTAAGGCAGCAGAGATGTAGGATTTGTCACTAGGGTTTTACTACAACCTAAGCTCTCAGTGGAGGGGGAAAAAAAAAACAGATCAAAATGCAGAGCTTCAGAATTTCCCCCTGGCACTTAGCCTGGGTCCCTCTGCTTCTGGAGTCGCTGGGATGCTTTTAAACTATTCATCACAACCACAAGAACCTGGATGCTTCTGGGCTTCGTTTCTGGAGTGGAATATTCTGAGCAGGGCTGGAGTGTACCAGGGCATCAAAGGATCAGGTCATTGAAACTTTATACTCATATCAGAGCCAGAAGTCCCTTCCACAGTGAAAATGGCTTCGGGTCACAAGCAGTTTTGCCCAGGGTAATGTGACCCATTTCTGTCATTTCTAGGGTATCAACTGAGGGATTTCACATCTCGGCTGAGTGGCTGCTGGAGGTCAGATCCTCTTTCTTTGAAAGAAGCCATTTCTATTGCCAGTGTCCTCTGACTCCTAGCACAAGACTTTTCTTACAAGGCTTCTGAGGCAGTGAGATAAATTCGGGAGAGGTGTGAGAGGGCAGGCCAAGGCTCAAGTGTTGTCACTCACTAAGAGTAGGATCCTAGAGAGGTCATTTGACCTCTCTGGGCCTCCGTCACTACATTTGTAAGAAACAAGAGAAGCTATTTCTCAGAAGTCCTCTTGGCTCTGCTCCTACTAAAAATCCCAGCGGGTCTCCAAGAGACCTTATAGGGCTGAGCCATGGCTTGTTCCATGGGAATTCCTGCACGCAGCACCCACTCATGACTTCCTATCAGGATTCTGTTCAGCCACATGCAGGGAGTTTCTTTATCTTCAAATTCACTCTCCAGTGTTCTGGACATTGCCCACTCATAGATGGAGAGAGCTGGCTTGGTGAGGCCAGTCAGCCTTGGAGGGGTCTCCTTCTGAAATCAGAAATGCTGGTGTCTTAGAAACAAGCCCAGGGAAGACAGGGAGGAGGGCAGGGTGAGTAGTTTAAAAATTCTTACAACTTTGTTGCCTGATAACTAACAGTTCTTGTTTCTTTTCTCATGTGTATGAATCTTTGTTAGAGCAAAGGAATCTAAGAGAGAGAAGGGAGGAAAGCATAAAAGAATGTTCTGAGCAACATATTCCCCGAGTGGCGGTACAGGGGCCAAAGAGGTGAGCTGCTTCAGAGGGCACATGGATGAATATTTTTATCATTTCAGAGTTATATACTTAGTTGGGTGTGGTGGCGGATGCCTGTAATCCTAGCACTCTGACAGGGTGAGGCAGAAGAATGGCAGGTTCAAGCCCAGTCTGGACAATTTAGCAAGATCTTTCCTCAAAATTTATGTATTTATCTGTTGTTGCTGTTGTTGCTGTTTTTGCCTCAAAATTTAAAAAAGCAAAAGGGCCGTGGATATAGCCCCACGCAAAGACCCTGGGTTCAATCTCTAATACACAAAAATAAAAGAATGAATGGATGGATGGATGAATAAAATCTACTTAGCTGGGTGTGGAGACATGGGCTGGGCTGTAATCTCAGCTTTCTGAGAGACTAAGGCAAGACTAGCAGAAGTTCAAGCTCAGCTGAAACAATTTAGTGCGATTCTCTTAAAATAAAAATGAAGTGAAATGGGCTGGAGATGCAGCTCCTTGCGAAGGCCCTGGGTTCAGTCCCCAAGTACTGTCCCCTGTCCCGCCCCAAATATATATATTTAAGAGTGAGGGGAGAGAGGGTGGCTCATCAGAAAAAAATAACTAGCCCATGTATAAAGGAACATTCATGGATAATAAATAGAGATTTGAAATTTGAGCTGATTGAAGAAAAAAATGAAATGAAAAACCACAAGTAGTTCACAGATTTGCCAAAAATCATGCAGAAGGTTTGTGGGAGATGCAAGTCGGGGAAACACTGTTATATTAGTTCAGGACATACTTATTTTATATTAAATCTATGCTTTTGGAAGATATATGATCAAGAAGAAATCAAATCAGAAAGCTCATCTAAGTACTAGATTCAAATCTCATCTGAAACAGCTACATTTTACAGACTGATTTATTTACATGTACCCATTCAACATGTGATATTGTGCTGAGAAGGGGCAGATCTGCAACACGACTTGGCCTTGATGAGCCAGAGATAACTTTAAAATAATGGCTTTCACAATTTTCTGACCATTAAACAGCACAGTACGTGATGATCCAGTAAACGCTCAGATATCCCTGTGTAAAACTGAAAAATATGACGTACATTACGTACAACAAATCCTGCCTTTTCAACCCTCGGCTAATGCAGTCCGTGGTGGACTGCCAGGCAGTCTGAACTTTTTGGCCCTAAAACGCCAGCTCACAAGGTTCACCCACCACCAACTGACAAACCGCCACAAGGAAAAGTCTCCCTTGAAACAGTGCAGACAGGATGCCTTTGAAGAGAAGAAAAGCCTTTTTTGAAATGTATTTTGGGTTTAGCGAGAACATTAATCCTCTAATAGGGAGGGAAAAACTTTGGTGTTTCTGGCAACCAGCCTTCACCTTCCCTAACAGGAACTGAAAATACTAAATGAAAATATCATGGAAAGCAGATAAACGAGCATTTCTTCCCCTCTCTTGCTGCAAGGATGAACCCCGGCCGCAGTCTCCTCTGTCCCCAGCTTTGCAGTGAAGGAGACGTTGGTGGTCTGGCCCCAGTGCCAAGAGGCACAAAGGGAGAGTGTCCGGGGCTGGCCAATCCCAGCTCATGTCACTGCTGCTGTGATTTTAAACCTGCCCTGGGGAGGCTTCCGGCTTAAATCCTCTCCAAAGCCTTTGGGGAAAAGACCTAATAATTGGGCCTGGGAAAGTGTGTGCCATTTCCTATCGTTTGTCAAGGTGTCCATCTCGAGCACTCAGATTTGTTAGGACAATTAAAACTAGCTTTTTTTTTTTCTTTGAAGTATGCTTTCAAAGCTGCTCAAGCCAGGTTCTGTGGACCCCTGTTAACTACGAGAGGGCCACGGAGGGGCATGGGGGTCTGACCCACTCATTCAGTTCTGCAGGATTCTGGAGTTGGCCGGCGGGACCCTGTGCACTGTCGCGTCCATGTCTAGTTCAAGGCTATGCCCTTAAATGCAGTCTTCTCTCTGGCTCTTTCTTGGGGAAGCTCTCAGAAGACAGAGAAAGTAGGCAAAAAAGGCAAGAGTATGAGTAGGAAAGTGAGAAAGCATGGGGTTGGGGGTGCTTTCCAAGGATCTTACTGTAGCTATGATTCCACAGGCTCCTAGAATGTCCAACCTAAAGGGTCTGATCTACTTAACCAAATATATTTAAAAAGCTACTTTGTTAATGCAAATCCGATTACAGGCCTAATGGCATCTTTTGTAGAAATAGAGAACTCCATCCTAAAATTCAAAATATGAAGTTGATTTCCTGCCTTACACCATGTACAACACTGAACTCAAAATGGATCAAAGACTTAAATGTCTCAAAGTGAATCAGAGATATAAACAAAACAGCGAAAACTATGAAACTCTTAAAGGAAAACATAGGAAAAAGGGTTCATGACATTGGCATTAAGTTCTTAGGTTTTATACCAAAAGAATAGGCAACAAAAGAATAAAACGAAGTAAGTTGGATTCCGGCAAGATTAAAAAAGGACACCATCATCCAATGAAAAGATGAACCAGGAAGTAGAACAGAATGTTTACTAATCATATAAGGAGTGAGTGTCTAGAATATATAGAGTTCTTACAAGCCAATAACAAGGAACAAGATCAAGCGAAGGACTTGAACTGTCATTTCTCGAAAGAGAGACAAATGGTGAGCAAAAACATGGAAAGACATTCAAGATCATGAATCATTAGAGAGTGCCAATCAAAATCACAAACAGCTATCACGTCACACCCTTGGGATGGCTGTTCCTTAAAAAACAGACAGAAAGTGCCCCTAACACTTGTTAACCTGCATTGTGGTTAGTAGCAGCCTGACTTAGAAGAATGGCTGATGTCCTATTTGGTGCCTACATACGATTGTTCCCACTAAATCAATAAAAAACCAGAAATGAGCCCACAGTGGATCCTCCATATGGCTCGAAATTAAAATCAGGAGTACCCGACTGTCCCCTCCTGCCTAATCATGTCCAACAGTTGTTCTTTCTGAAGCTGAGTAAATTCAAATGACTAGAACTCTTGGCGATGTTTTTAATGTATTTTCAGTTGGGAATTTTGCTATGCTGGGTCACGTAACATTTCCTGTACAAATACTCCAGTATCTTGTGGTGGTGTGACCAAAAATCAGTGTGTATTATGTGAAGGTACAGTATCCTATTAGATGAAGCCTTCTCTGTCCTGTGTGAGCCATGAATTTCCTACTTTTACTAGGTGAATTTCTCCTTCCCCAGGAAAGAGAAGAGGCACCCCACCACTGGAGCAAACATATATAGTTGTATTTCTTTTAAATATATGACAAGGTCATTCCTTTCCTTCAGTGCCTTATTTTGGATAAAACCAAGCAAAACTATGGGTAATGCAGTCATGTTTTTTGCTGGTAACTCAAACACAGTAAAAGAAAGCAAGGAAGTGCTGTACATTTTTAAAAGTAGTTTTTACTACCTTTTCTCCAAAGCATTTCATAAGGCATGTTTTAGAATCCTAGTCACATAAAACACTGGCAGAGATAAATGAAGGTTAACTTGCTAAAAAGATTTGTTTGCAGTTGGGCTTATGTTTGACCCTGTGATGATACCTTAAAAAACAGTAAATTCTTGAAATCTCTCTCACATTCACACACCCTTTACATCAAAAGGTGTCCCACACGCAAATGTTTCATATCCTTCTACTCTTCTGGATAAAGAAGACAAGTCGTTTGGCTCCTGGCATTTGAAGAAAGATATATTTAAAACTAAGAGATATTCACCTTTCATTTCTTGAACCCATAGCACCCTCCAAGCACACCCCTTCTCTCTTGAACTTATTTGTTCAAAATCCCAAGGAGAAAACTTCTGCTTTCACTGGTCAAGCCATTTCTCTATCCTGTACCTTATATGGTTATGAGAAAGTACAAAACTGGCCACAGAAAGCCTTCTCCCTCCCTCTCTTAAGGGTGCATGAAGTTTCATAGGGCGACAAGAAACACTTTACAGGGGGAAAAATCCCGTTATTTGAGCAGGTCACTGTATACCATCAGTAGCCTTTTTGGCAGAGTGAAACAGATTGTGCATGGTTATGAATATGTCCCTCTGTCACAGAGTTGCACAAGGAATCCTGCACTCCCTCTCTTCCTGCTCTCTCTTCGGGCTCCCTCAAACAGTGTTAATTCAGAGTTCTTTGCACTGAACAATACAAACTGGCAGCAACAGAGAGACAAGGTCCACAGTCAGGGAAGTTGAAAAACAGAGGGCTAAATACTAGTCCAATGGCTTTCTTGTCTACAGGGTTCCTCAGGTCCTTTACTGTGTTTACTAGTGCTGGGAATCCAAATGTTCGTTTAACAGGTTGGTGTGATTCCTAAATGCATTTTTGCCATGGAACTGATTTTGTGGACTAGCTTAAAGAACAAGCCTATCAGGGGATGGATTTTGGTAAACACTTTTCTAATAAAGGAACCAAAATGTGTGCACAACCCAAACTAGAGAAGGCAGCAGTCTACAGGCAACAGGTGGCAACCAGGGGGTTGGGCAGGCAGAAATCACATGCACCCGTATTTCCCGTGACCTTACCCCTTAACTCAGAGTGGAGTTCTCTCATGGTACACATCTGAAGAATTAAATATCCCTGAATAGGTACCTGCTATCTCTCATTTCAAAAGAATTTGTATAAGGCTCTGAGCAAAGGCCACAGAGCCACATGGGAGAAGCATTTCTATCACCAGTTGGGCTTACAGTGATTCATCACCGGGACAGGGCTGTTGAGAGACCCAGTGGGGCCTTGTCTACACTGACACAGTAACATCAAGTACAAGGAAGGCAAGGATCTTCCCAGCTGCTCAAAACCAGGACTACAGCTCGAAAGGTGAAAGCTTAGAACCAAGGACCTGGAAAGGCTTCTTAGAGATACACTACTTGAAGGCCCTCTTTGCCCTAAAAGAGGGTTAAAGACTTGGGCAGTAATGGCGTCTCCAAGGTCTCACATTTGGTGAGTGACACCACTGTTGCTGAACTCAGGACCCTGGTGTTTGTTATGTAACACAGCTACATGGCCTCCCTGTAATGTACCAAATCAGGGCATGAACCCAAGAAGGTCAGAAGCCAGGCATGAGAGGCCAGGTGTTGTGGAGGAACTGTGGTTCTCCCAGGATGAGGACCAGAGTGAGCCCCCCCTCCCCCAGGGCCTCCTCAAACTCAGAGGGGAGGGGAATCAGGCAAATATGGAGAGAACTCTAGGAACAAAGGCTAAAGCAGCACGTGTCCGAGCAGGCCCGTGACATGGACAGCCAGACTCCTCACAGCCCCAGGGCCGCAGAGCTTTCTTTGGGGCACTGAGGCACACAGGGCGGGGAGTATCTGCAGCTATTGTGGAAAAAGTGAGTTGAGCCAACCTGATTTTATGAGTTCTCTGCTCCGCTTCTGAGCAGTCCATTTTGCATATAGGATTTTATTTGACAAAAAGTTTCCATGGCAAATGTATACATGTAATATTAATATTAATAATGTTAGACATGAAGAATAACAGCCAACCTTTACTGCATACGTACTTTGTGCCAGGTCCTTTTATTCTGTTGACATTTTTCATTTGTGTTATGAATCCAGTGGGGTAGCTAATCACTACTGCAGTTCACCAAGAAGGACACTGAGGAATAGGCCAGAGGTAAGGAACCCACAACCCAACAGAGCAGAGCCAGAGCCAGGTACCAGTAAATCTGCACATGTTAGCTGCATTGCTGGTCTACCCCACCGACAGAGGCGACACAAACTGGGCTCTCAAAGCTGGTGCTGTTCTGTTACAAGATACAGTGTTTTCACCAAGTCTTTAACAGCTTTTAGAGACTCGACGGCAAAATGTGTTGAACTTTAACTTCTTCCTTGAGGAAAAGGAGTTTTTTTTTTGTTTTTTTTTTGTTTTTTTTTTAACCCCAGGAGGCTCTCTTTAAAAATGGGACTGGCAAACCATTTGCAATAATTTAAGTATGATTTTTGCTCTTCACACTGGAGGATGCTGGCAAGATGCAATCTTTCTGCTGTTATTTTTCCTGTCAATCAAAGTCAGAAGCCAACCAAAGAACTAGCTTATTGTGTTTCTCAGGGGGAATCGGTGCAGAAACTGAGAGCTGAATTGGACCATTATTCACTATCTGTGATTGTATTATGGCAAATGTGCAGGAACAGAAGAAAAAAGGCAGTCATTTATCCTCATTCTGCCAAGTGTGCAGACACCAGGTATCAGATAGATCAAATAATTTCAGGGACTCATGGATGTTACTGACCCACACATAGCCCTTCCAGACTTCTGAGCCTTTTCACCTGACAGTTGTCTTCTTAATGGAAACACAGAACCCTTCTTCTGAAAAAATGAAATACGCAGAGGTAGAAAATGCCCCTAGAGACAGCTCCCTGCCTTTACTCACCCAAACTGGGAAGCGATTTCCTCCAGGTTGTCTGTTTTGCTTTATGCAACAGGCCTGGCTGTGACCAGCTGGCAGGGGGGATGAGGTTTTGAAATAGAGCACATGTGCAGCCGAAGCCTAGTAACATGGTGTAACACTCAGGCGGCTCTGACAAATCAGACAATCAGGATGAGGGACCGAGAATGCCAAGGTAGCCATGTCACTGCGCTCGGTGCTGCTCAGACCCTTGAGAGTTGTGCAAGCCTTGAACTTTGTGGACGAATTCAATGTCGTAACTTAATGACCCTGAGTTGCTTCATCTGGCTACGCTCCCACTTCTCCAGAAGGAAAGCTAAATGCAATACCAATAACTACCACTTATCGAGTGGCACGGTACTAAGACACTGAGCTAAGGGTCTGAAATAATTTCATGGAATAAACTTACTTAAAATAATGGCTTCATTGATTCCCATGAGTAGTTTATGAAATAGACTCGCTGCAGATCAGAGATGTTAGCAGTTCGCCCCAAATCACAACTCATCAGTGGTAGGGCAAGGATTTGTATGCTAAGAGCCCACTCTCTTCTTGGTCAGCACCACCCACTCCAGGAGACGGGGACCAGAGCTCTTTTATTTTCGCCTTGGGGAGCAGAGGCAGAGATGTGAACACAGACTATAAACTGCGAGAAGTTCTGCACGTAGACTAGTTTTCACTCCCCCTACTAACACTGGGCTTTTTAAAAGTAAGGCTGAGCTGTACAGAATTTTACTGGAACTGTTGTCTTTCATAAGCACAATAAAATGAGGGGGTGCCGAGAAACCCTCTAGCCAAACTCTGCAGAAGAAGAGAGAGGTGCCCTTCCAGCCCACTCATGCAATCAGAAGGACCCAGAGCTTCCAGGTGGCTGGCCCTGGGCTCATCCCCTCACCAGGCTCCGCGGCAGCCCAGTTACACGCAGCCCACTGCCTGGAGTGGTGACTCAGCCACTCCTGGCAGCATCTGTTCTGCTTCTGTGAGACTCAAAGGGGCCCCTCCCATGGAGGAGGGAAAAGGAGGATGCAAGGGGCTTCTCCCCCCGCACACCTGGCTGCCAGACAGAGTGTGGAAACTTGGTTCCCTCACGAACCAGGGTGGAGCTTCTAATTCTAACTCACATATACCTAAGCTTTTTAAATGCTCTTTCAGAGGATCTTTGTCACCATGAGTGACAAACTCTGGATGCATGGTCACCTGGGAGATGACGAGGGCTCCACATTCTTTGGTCAAGTTTCTCCTTGGAATCTTCCGTCCACTGTCCTATCAACTGTGATTTTTGGGTTTTTTGGTTTGTTCATTTGTTTTGCATGCTCCTTTTGTTGCAGGTACTTTCCCGGGTATCAAGGGAAGAGCAATGAATCTACAGTTTATACTTTCAAGGGGTTCCAAGTAGACCACAAAACAAAAGGAAGAAGAAGCCACTGATACTGAGGTATGGGGATGAAACTGCGGGACACAAAATGTGGTCTGGGAGCCAGAGAAAGTCAAGAGAGTCATTTAAGTCATTTTTACTGACCCTGCACGGAACTTGTAGAACCACATTCTTTACAAAGCAGCAAAAGGAAATTAGTGTCCAGGCACTGATGCCTCATGACTAAAATCAAACTCAGGAGAACAAAATACAGACTCTGCACTTAATCAGGGTAAAATCTGGCCAGCCAAATATATTCATGATATTAATCACAAGCAGGGATTCCAGGGGCATATCCATTCCACCCAAGCACAGCAAAAAATGGGACAAATAGCTTAGTCAGACTGTTCTTCCCTGCACACCCAGCATGCAGAGGCTCTCTCCATTCAGTTGCATGCGCTGAATTGGTCTCAACAACGAAGAACCCGGACAAGTCCCAGCCCAGGCTAGGAAACAAAACAAAACAAGTACACAGACTTCGCTCTCTCATTTTTCCCTAAATGTAGACAAGCTAGAAGCAAAGTTGATGGTTTCAAACAATATCAAACTGACCTTGGCCCAGTCCGTCCCAGCTGTTGATCTGCATACCCTGAGTTTCAGGCACACGACCACACTTCCTGTATCGTCAATCATATTCTGAACTAAAGATGTAAATGAGTGACAGAAACCCAAAGGTGATTTTATCTTCCCAATGTGAGACTTAAAGGAGGAAATGAAGGCAGGAGAGACACTAGCTTTGGCCCCACAGTGACTGAGATCAAGGTTCTCTTCCTCATAGGGTGCTCTCAGGCCTGTTTCACAGAGGAGTGAATTCTAGCAGCGGGAGGTTGAGTCATGGGCCTGATGTCGCCCAGCTGGAGAATGCAGAGATGGGATCCAAGCCCAGGTCTGTCCATCATGGAGGCTACAGACGGGGCCTCAGGCTTCTCCTCCTCGGTAAAAATGAACAGATCCATGACCACAGCTCCAGAGTGAGGAGGACTCGTCGTGGAAGAGGGTAACAGAGTATTTTAGGGAGGCCCTATTATTAGGATAAAGAGTGACAGCATTTCAGCGAGGGGGGAGAGGTGGCCGGTAGGAACACCCATGACAAGGCCCTGGGGCCAGCCAGCTGCATACCTAGGGACTGGCAGCCATGCTGCAGAAGGTATCACCAAAGATGTACGTAGGCAGCATTCCCTCTGTGACACTCCAGTCCGGCCCACCAGCCATCTGGAGGACAGGTAGTCCTGACAGGTATCTGGGCTCACTGGCACTGGTCTAGGACAGCTGATCTCCTAGTTATTCCAGCACTGCCCCTTCCACAGACAGGGCCACCACGCGCTAACCTGTCTCTCCCTGTAGCGGCCGTGGCCAACACCTCCTTCCCCTCTCTTGGCTCCCCAACCTCTGCCCTTCATAGACCAGAGCCCTTTGGCCTCAGTACTTGCCTAGTATAGACTGAGCTTACTGTTCTAAGACACAGATCGCTAAACCAGGGCCGGAAGGACAAATTCTGCCCACTGCCTATTTGTTTGTTCATTTGTTTGTGGTACTGGGGACTGACCTAAGGCCTTCTCACTAAGGTACGTCCATAGCTCCCCCCAAAAAAATTTTTTTTAAATTTTTGAGACAGTGACTCCCTAAGTCGTTAAATTGCCAGGCTGGGCTTGAACTTGTGATCCTCCTGCCTCAGCCTCCAATGATGCTAAGAGTATAGAAGCATACTAACAGGCCATTGCAAAGTTTTCTTGGAACACAGTTATGCTCATTCACTTACTTAAAGGCTATAGCTGCTTTCTCACTACAATGGCAGAACTGAGTAGTTGCAACAGAGACCCTGATGCCTTCCAACCCTAAAATAATTGCTATCTGGAGATTTATTAGAAAGTTTAGCAACTCTTACTCTAAAATATTAATCTCTTGACTTCAAGTCCTATTTCATTCCTCTGTTCTTTCTCTGGTACCTGGCACAGAATAAATGTTTCTGGAGTAAGTGGGTGAATGTAGGCATGAGGGTTAGATAGACATCATTAGATCAACTGAACAGGGCAAAGATACTAATTGGCAAAGCTTTAAACAATGGAGAAGAATGTTCTAGGTTGAGTGTATCTTCCATTTTAGCCAGCTAATATAGGATTGCCCATGTCTTAATGCACACTGAATTGGCTTTTTCTCCTCAAAAGCATGGCATTCCATTTCTCTTCTTTGTCCCTCACAGATACAGCTTTGGAAATTATTTGGAAGCAGGATAATTCATCTTCATGTTACATGCTGGAAGGAACTGTCTTTTGGTACATACGTCAAAAATATCCTTTTCCCATCATCTGCTATTTCCGATTTGAATCAGTAATAACAGCTCAATAATGTGTTAAGCACATATTGAAAGGCTCTCATGCAAAGTACTTTACTGGCAGTACCTAATCTACCCTCTCACAATAATCCCATAAACTAGGTACTGCCACATTCTGTTATGGATGAGAAAACTGAGGCTGGAAGAGATTAAGCAGCCTGTCTGATGTCCAAGGGCAGGCATACATCTGTCCAATTCCAGGGTCACAACTGTAAATAACTGCTATACAGCTCATTAATTTATCTACTCTATCAACAAATACAAGGTACAGTGTGACCTCGGTTCACGAATGCTTTTGTTGGCAAACAGTTTGGTTCATATACAAAAGTGTTTGAAAATTTTTGCTTCTCTTTACAAACTCTGTGGTTTCTTTCTTTCTTTCATTTTTTTTTTTTTTTTTTTTTTTTTTTTTGGG